CTGACAGCCGTGCAACATTTTATGAGCTTTCTTGCCCAATAAATGCAGGCAGATGTTGTTGGATTTGGAACATTACAAGGCACTGGAGTATAGCTGGTGGGAGGTAATTTTGAGGAGTGCTTAACCTCTGGCTAAAAAAGTAGCAGCTTGGAGAATGCAGTATTTACTGCAGGAAACATTAGCTTGTCAAAAGAGGTAAAGTACTGCAAAGAACCTTTTTGAATGACCATGCAAATCTTCATCCAGATGTGTTTCATAGCATAGAGTAATGCATGCTCCTCTGGGAGTTAGTCTAAGGCCTTTCCTTGTATCATTTGTAGTCAACACTGTTTCCTGTAGGAAAACAGCTTGCTAACCTAAGAATATACAAGCAATTATAGGCCGGCTTGTGAAATATCATGCAAATCAACTGAACCCCGTAAGCATTCATATTATTAGTTCTCCATAATCAAATAATCCTTTGAGAGAGCTACCTAAAACCACTGTGTCTGAAAATCTTTGAGTTAGAGGAAGCACTTCAATTTAAATGTTGTTGTTCTATTTCACCCTTCTGATGACAGGGCCTTCTGACCTGTGTAATGCAAGAACACAAACCTAATTTTCAAAGTTGGCCATGGTATTGATCTGACCTATACCACAGATCCACTCTATCTCTGTAATCACAACTACCTAAGACATGGATATTCTTGTGTTGTACTGTGCATTCATAAGCTGAAATAAAACATTTTTTAGCAATGCAAGAGCTATAGTTCTGAAGATACTAAAAATAACTGAATATCCCCTTGTTTTCTTTACATACCCTTGCGTGAAAGGGAGAGAAAAAAAAAATGCATCTTGTAACTGCAGCAGTGGAAAGAGCAAAACGGAGAGACTGAGTAGAGAAGCTGGTGTGAATATTGTTGCAGGAGCAATGCACACATCATTGAATTACCCTTGACCATGTTATGGACTTTAAAATACTTGAATTAAAATAGGAAGGAGGGAGACATAGCAAATGAAATCCATGTGTATGAATATATAACATCAGTCAGCTCACAAAGAGTTTCTCTATAAATATTGCCCTTGGACACTCGTATAGAGAAGGGCCACATCTACTTATCAAGGAGAAGCCATGGCACTGAATATGTACAGCATATGCATGGCTTTTATGTGGTGTTTTTTCATGCAAGTGTGTTTGTGATACCCATACTTTAAAGGGAACGTTTTCAGTACCATACATCTGAAGAGCTATTCTCCTCCAGAATCCAGATTGTTTTATTACCAGCTAAATGTTCTTTAAGCTACCTGTGAATGAGGGCATTGTGACATTTAGCAACTGGTGTGATTGAATGCAGATGTGAACCATATTCCATATGGAGAAGATCCAAAAGGAGAGATTGTAGGCTTGTTTCCGATTTGCAAGCAGGAATTTAAATGCAATTACTTGATAGCTACCAAGATAGATAAAAATAAGTTGCTTGCTTGCACATCTATAGTATTGCAAGTGTAAAATCAGCTGCAGTTTGAAACAGTGTGCTTTATTCAGAGGTCAGGAAAATATATACCAGTATATATGCCATATACATGTATATAATGCCAATATATATGAAAGTGAAAGTCCTATATCCAGTGATAATGGAAAGTAAGCATTCAGAAATGGAATGGGGTGAGGCATTTATTACATTGCTTACTTAGTGGCTTCCTAGAAGTGCCCCCACTGCAGATAACCACACTTTTCTAATGCTATTCCTGCACATCTCTGAACATTACAAGTGCTATTACCATAGAATCATTTGAGTTGGAAGGGATCCTTAAAGATCATCCAGTCCAACCCTTCTGCAATGAACAGTGGGACATCTACAGCTAGATCAGTTGCTCAAAGCCTGGTCCAGCCTGACTTTGAATGTCTCCAGGTCATTCACCAGATCTCTGGGCAACTTGTGCCAGTGCCTCACACCCCTAATTGTAAAAAACCTCTTCCTTATGTTCAATCTAAATCTCTCCTCTTTTATTTTGAAAGCATTTCCCCTTGTCCTATGACAGCAGACCCCGCTAAAGTTTCTGTCTTTAGCAGTTTAGAAAAATGGCTAAATGGGGAATAGAGATAATAGCTAATATCAGGATGCAATGTTTGTTGATAATTTTCCAGTGCTACTTGAGTATAAAATTTACAGATGCAAAACTGAAGTTGCATGCAACAGACTCATTTTATTACTGGAATTTTTATTTCTTATCAACGATTTAGGGAGGAAAAAGCAAAAGCTTGGAGCCAGTTTTGATGTATGTATGTTATGTATGGCTCAATTTTGTGAAGCTTTTCACAGTAACTAAATGGCAGGCCTCATCCTCTGCCTTTTGTTAGATGATAAAGGAGGTTTTATCCTTATCTTCATTGCCTGTGGTGCTTGTTTGTTTTCTTTCCACCTGAATGGATTTTTCATCATTGAAAATGTGGTCTCTCCACAATGTCTAGCTTGTAAAGTCAAACAGCGACTTAGCTATTATTCCTATCAAATGATTCTAGTCCTCATAAGTGTTGGTATTGAGTGCAGTTAAAATGAAATATTTTTGAACCTGAATTTTCAAGAACAGTTTTTCCATGCTGACAATTGATTTTTTCCATTAAATTTTCATCCTTATTCAGCTGAGAAGAACTTCTGAATTTTTACCAGCTTTGTTTTCCTGGTTTCCCAAGGTTATTTATCTGTACCTATTCTGCTATAACAGGGCTGAGCTGCAAAGAAATACTGAGCTTAGCCTCTCTCAGAGTATTCCTGGGGTGCTAGAGGGGACATTGCCTTCTCCTAATGCAGTGGAGGAGGAGAAAATAAAACAGGACTGTTTGATCTCAGTTTAGACAAATGATAGTGAATGGATACTCCTGATTGGTGCGGATATGTCAGGGGACAGAAGTGAAAAACCTGATTTGCTAAAGCCTGTTCCCAGGCCAGCTGAACTTAAGGTTTTGAGAAAATGTCAGGCTTAAACACTTTCAAAAGTATTCTACAAAACCAGAGTGCAAAATCCACTATGTAGGATCTAGTCACTGTGCACTGTGAGAAGCTGTGGAGCATGAGTCAATCTCCATCCTCTCACCTCTGTGTTTTTTCCCTTTTCTTCCTGCTCACACCTCTGTGTGTGCACAGACACACTTGAGTTGCATTGCTGGAAGCTCAAAGTAAGTTCATTCCAACAGTGCAGGTCTCTCCTTTTTTTTATAATTCCCTCTAATCATTTGGAATCCAGGAAGCTGTGGTATCATGTGCAGGTAGCACAGCAATAAACATGTTCTCATCACAATTTACACATAAAGCGTGAGTCCCTCGAGGTAACTCTTTCCTCTCTTGACAGCTTTAATAAAGGATGATGGATTGTTATTAAATGACAGTTTAGGAAGATCAAAAATTCCCCCCTGCTTTGTTTTAAGCGCTGATGTACAAGAGCTGTTTGTGTTCTATGAAAGTTGTTTCTGCCCGTAAGCACTGGGGCTCTATTACTCCCCTTCACAGTGGTGAGAAATGCATAGCTACCACAGGAATATATTCATCCTGCTGTGTACTCGTTGCTTTTTGACAAAATACAGAAAAGCAAAGCCTAGCATGGGTGGAGGTGGGGAAATGCCAATAGCTGGATGTGTTCTCATTGTCAGGATGCTGCTCTGGGTGTTCTCCGCATATGGGCTGTGCGGAGGAGGAGGATTGGGCACTGTGTTGGCTTTCCTCCCAGAGCTGCCTCTGAGGGTTGAATGCCAAGGGATGGTATGCCCCAAACCCACCTGCACGGCTCAGCTCTCCCCAGCCAGCATGCAGAGAAAGCCTTAGGGACCCAGCAGTCACCTGCACCCTCTTTCTCCTTCTCGGTTACATGTGGCAGCAAATTAGTTTTGGAAGGCAGTCTTCCCTCCTGTTTCTTTTTGGTGTGAGATTTACTTCTAACTGTGTGTGCTTTGTAGTTGCACTTGGCAGAGTGGAGTTTGTTCAGCTGTCCATTCCCTAGCTAATCTGGTGTCTTAAAATAAAAACAAGCAAGTGGATCTCTAGAGAAAGGATGCCACATGAAGATGTGGAAGGATACATGTGGCTACCACAGCACTGCTCAAAATCATTTTTAGGGTAAGAAACTCAAGAAGAAAAAAAGGCTCAGTACCCAATTGGGCCTTTTTCTGATGCTGCCTCAAAGTGACAAAATGAAGTCTAGACAAGACTTCATTGTGGCCATACAGCAACAAAATCATACCTCTTTCACTGAATTTAGGTAACTGTGGAAGCAGTGGATCTGCTTTGGAATCCAGGACTTTGCATTAGGATGGAATACAGCGTTGTCCAGCTTTTCCCTCTTTTGCATGAATAGTTTGTCCTCTGGAGCAAACAGCACTGTAGACACCAGAAGACTGTTGGTATAGATTGTCATTGCCCCACTTGGTCTCAAAAGGAAGTTTTCCACCCATGAGAAGAGGGAAATTTTAAAATAGAAAATAGCCTAGACTGGAGTTAAAACAGGGCTAGGACTTGCTGGAGGAATGAGATCCAGTGGGTTAGATCTCAGTAATCTGGCAAAGCAGGACTGTCCGTATACAACCTTTCTGAACCTTTACTTCCCCACCCATAAAATTCTTGCAGTAATGCTTCACCCAGCTAAGTAATCTTGGCTGGACATTAGCTACTTCATTGGGAAGTAACTATGTAAAAAAAGAATTGCCTGTCCATCCTTTCTTTTACTAGTATCCCAGGATGAAGCAATGTTTTTGCTCTTTGTGGTGGCATAGAAACCTGACTGAATTTTAAACTTGAGTTGAATCCTTGTTTTCCAGCTTTGTTTCCCAACTCCATAAATGTTTGTTTCAGTATATTCAATTGTTGTCTTTGAATGTCTTTCAATAAGCAGACCCCAGTCTTAACATGTCAGTCGTAGTTTGTGATATGCTTTTTTTTCTAGGTACTTGATTAGAAAATCTTCATTTAACAATATTCTATTGTTTTGATTACTATTGTGTGTTATGAGTGTGATATTCTTTCCCTTAGGCACAACAGGGATTTACCAGGGAGCCAATGGCCTGACAAATTCTGCTGGATTCAGTGCTGTGCATCAGGTATATCTCAGCATTTATTATTGGCAACCTTGTCAACTATTTTAAACACCTAGAATACTGGTAGATCAGAGAGATTATCTTGGTGTTTACATATAATTAAGAAAAGTTCTACTGTGTGTTTTGCCTAGCACCATTTTGGTCTACCTGAGTGGTATGGCCATTTGTTGAACTTCTAGGTATCTTCATTAGCTTTAAAATGTGTGTATCAAAATACAGAGAATGCAGTCCTTGAAGGACTCCTGGCAGTCTCTGCTGTGGTGTTGCACAGCAATGCTGAGAGTTTCATTACTCCTCTGCCATCTTGCAACTTTCAGATATGTTTTCCAGAGCAGAACACTTCCCTTTTAGGATCTTATCCTCTGCTATCCTGGCACTGTGTAATAAATAGGAACATACTGAAAGAGGTGTTGGCAGGCACTGAATACTGAGCCATCTGAGCTGTCTCTATGCTTCCTTCTTTGAGAGTACACCTGTCTGTGGGCTTCATGCTTCAGATACCTTAAGAAATGTGTGTGTATAAATAAACAGCATGCATATATGCACAAGACATGTTTTTGCAGTAATAGATGACTTTTTTTGATTGGACTGAACATATGAGTATGCTATCCCCAAAAATGTTTTCAGTTAGCCATGGAGTAATAATTTCAATTACTTGTCAACAAGATGGTTGTTATGTCTCATATTTCAAATGACAACAGTGGGCAATTTCATTATTACTTCAGTTTTGGCTAAAAACATTGTCAATAAATGCTGAAATAAGCGCACTTGATTGAAGTATAGAGCTTACCTGCAAAAAGGAGAAATAAGTGTGTTGTTTTCATCATTTTGTGATATTCTTAAAGAGAAAACAATGGAATTTTTCACTTCTTTTTCAGCTTAATATTTATTTTAACAACTTGAGTCATTTCTATTCTTGAGTGCTCCCCGGTGACTGAGAGCTAATGAAATAGCTGTGCCACAGACAAAAATGTAAGCAGTTAAAAAGGAAAGGGCTTTTAGTCTTTCTAAATACTATTTATTATTTAATTTTATTTAGGACCAGATACTAATTACCATTTCTGGGGAAATAAAAACCTTTTGTTGAAGGACAATCCCCGGAGCACAAATACAGTTCTCTGCCTGAAAAAGCAAATAAGTGAACAAGAGCAGGAGTTCTGATGATGAACAGAAGAAACAAATGAATTTTTTTATGTTTTAATTAACCAGATATAAGTTTTCTAATCTATTTCTATGTCTTGCTTCCCACGAAGAAGAACACATGGACAGAGCGTTACAAATTTGTTTGGGATCCTTAACATCAGGACAAAGAATATCATCATACCCCAGCTTTCCAAGTTCACTTGCACCTTGTGATTTCAGTACAGTTTTCTACAGACAGAATATCATTCTGGCATTTAGTTCTTGCAGAGGCAGTAGGACATGTGTGAGCATTCTGCAAAGCAATTGTTAGATTCATTTTTTTTCCCTTTTTTATATCCCATTCTAAAAGATGATCAGAAAATGCTGCTGATAACAGAAAAATGCAACCTACTTTATTTCTGTATAGAATTGTTAAGCCCTGTGATGCAAGATGTGTCAGTATTGCTAAATGAAATCCTATAGAAAAAGCAGAAATTGCCTGATATCTGACCTCATGTTGAGGTCATATCTGGGAGGAGGATAAATGTAATTTCATAAGTGAACAAAACATATTTCTTTAGCAAAAATATTCCTGAGCCAGGACTTGCTGCATGTGCAGATAACATTGCTTTGCTGTGTGTGTGATGCCTTATTTATTTATAAGATAAAACTGGTGATACACAGAAATTACATGCTTCTTTTTTCCTCAAAGGAATATTCATCATATCCAAGCTTTCCTCAAAGCCAGTACTCACAGTATTACAGCTCCTCCTACAACTCTCCCTACATGTCCACAAACAGCATCAGTCCTTCAGCCATCCCAACCTCCACTTATTCTCTGCAGGAGTCTTCTCACAACATCACCAGTCAGAGCACAGAATCGCTGTCTGGTGAGTGCATTTCTTTTGTTTTCAGTTTGCACTGCCTGCCCTCTTTAGACATAAGTGCTGTATCCTAATTGTTGGATGTTTTTTTTAGTACTTATATTTACACCGAGAAATCAGATTTCCTAGCATGTAACAGTTTTGCTCACAACAGTTTTGGGAAGAGATGAGAAAACACAGCCTCTGTAAGACTATCCTGTGTCGTTTTCATGAGTGCACACGGTTTGATCTCCTTCTAAAGGTAGTATAGAAAGATAAAATAATTACATGCAAAAGCCAGATCAATCCTTAGTGTTAATATGTGTAAAAGTAAGTTCAAAACAAGTGGCCATGCTCTGAAAAAGCCCCAGTTTCCTCAGTACCCCACATCTCTGTCAAAGTTTCTGTTCACTTCTCACAATCTGTAATGTATGCATTCATAAATAAGTACATAAAGAGAAAGTTTCTCTTAAAAAAAAAATCAACACAAACTGTTTGTCTAAGTTAAAAGTTCAAGACAAAGTCCGTATAGAAAGACTTAAGAATTTGTGGCCTCTCTTTGAGCACTTAATTCTTAAAGTCTCATGGCTTAAATGGTTTGTGGAATTATTGACCAATTATGATCCTCCAATGTACTGTTCAAGAAAAATATTCAAATATCACTTCCCTACTAAAGTTTTCATTGGCATGCAATAACAGTTATATAGAACGCCACATAATTTGAGGATGATCACAGTATACGCCCATTGTAGGTCTGCTGACTTATGGAACAAATCTGAACATCTGTGGTTGCTCTGAAAGAAAAATAAACTAATAATGGTTGTTAAAAAGAAGCAGTCACAGATTGCTCTAAAAGCAGTTGGAGGATTTTCTGTTCCTTAGATCTTATCTCAGCCTTTTTGAGAAAGTGATTTCATAAAAGGCTTGTTAGGCACAATCCAAGCTTCTCTGAAGAAGAATATGGTTATTCAAGGAAGCTGGAGAGGCCACAGCTTAGCAAGGTGAAAAGAAAAATATGTTTGAAAAGGATTTGTAATGTAAGGTAAGTGAAATCTGGGCAGGTTTATGAAACTCAAGCCATCCAAAACAAAAACGTTATACAGGGAAGTTCACCTTTGACTGCCTCTTCTCAGTTATTTCTAAACTGGTGAAATGGAATATGGCTAAACAGACTATACATATATTTTATAAATAAAAGGTGATATTGAAAGTATCTTTTCAATCCTGAGCATTTATCAAATTTTAAAAAAAGACATTTTTGCATAAGTTTAATTTACTTTTCTACTGCATTTCTAATTTTTCTCAAGCAAAGGGGGGAGAGGGGAATAAATTTCAAAAAGTTTTGTTTTTTTAATGAAAAATGATTACGTTTTTGAACTGCCACATCTACTTTTTTTCTGTATACACTCTTGGTGTTTTCTGAAATTGTTGCAACAAATGTTAGAAGTTTTAAATTATTTTTCTAACTTTGTAAGCTTTTGACATGAAAAAAATTAAGATTTTCTGACAGTATTTTCATACCAATCCTGGTGCTCTCCACTAAGTGGTTTCCTGCTCTAGTTATAATGAGACAGTGCAAAAATTAATTTTAAATTTATATTTAATTCTTTTCCTCCCAATAGGAGAATATGGAACAACACCAGCAAAAGATATAGAAACAGACAGACATCACAGAGGGTCGGATGGCAAGGTACGAGCCCGATCAAAAAGAAGCAACGATCCTTCCCCCACTGCTGACAGTGAGATTGAGGTAATAAAATTAACTTACATTCCCTTAGTAAATCCTGCAAGAGAAACAGTTGCATCTATCAGCAAATCCCACCAGCAAACTAGTGAAGCCAGAATAGCATTAGCAATATAATCAGAGCCTTTTATTGTGGGTAGTCAAAGTAATTGCTCAATTTCTATATTATTAGCATTTCTGATTCTTCTTTGTATGTGTATATGCAAAAAACTTGTGTTTTTAGTAAACCTGCTTACAAAAAATTGCATGTCATTTACCCATCTTGACATGCAATGAAGAATTTCTGTAGTTGTTAGGAAAGCAAACTCTCAGGGTGATCAGCAGGAACATAGTTTCAAATTTCTTGATCTGCTGTTTTGCCTGCTTTCACAAAGCATCTGCAATCAATGTGCTACATGGGTGTGAGATCTTAAAAAGTTCTAGTCCACTTGGACATATTTCCTGACTGAACAAATTCTTGCAATTGCATAATGTGTAACTGTATTTCTCTTTTCCACCCTATCTGTCATCACAGCGTGTATTTGTGTGGGATTTGGATGAGACGATAATTATTTTTCACTCCTTACTCACGGGAACCTTTGCATCCAGATATGGGAAGGTAAAACATAATTTTTTTAACATTACTTCTTGTCTAGCCAGATTACATCAGGATCTGTGGTAGCAGTTAATAAGACAGATTTTCAAACAAATGCTGCTGATTTTATTCAGACACATTTGTATAAATAGGTCCTGTGGTATTTCCTTCTAACAGGAATATTTAATTTACCTTCCTTTTATGTTGTAAGTAGCTCCTTGTTTTTAAAAGCTTGTATCATTTGGCTGTTCAAATCAGGATGTGCTTTGACTGTCTTTCCTCTGCAAGGAAGAGCCTATTTAGCTGGTACAGGGCAGTCACTGGCCTGAATGGGGTAATGTTTTCTGTTAGACCGGTGTTTTCTTTTGAATCTCAGATAACTGTTTTTAAGAAAGATCTTGTGTTAGTCCGTTTAAGTTGCTATGGAGAATACTGGCTCCTCTTCCTGCACGGCTGCTGAAGCACATATTTTTAAGAGATTTTAGGAACAATATCTTTAACTATCCTAACTTCAGATACCCCCTTTGAAATACTGGCGATTACATTTGTTGAGGCAACATTCTGTGTATGAACAGACTGAATTTGGCTGCTCAGAAGAAAATGCTCGGTCTTTAATTTAGTACCATGTGCTTCAATTTCTTCCTAGGGCAGCTTTTTATGATAAACACTTAAGTCACTTGGAATTACAGAATGTCAAACACTTTTAAATGGGCAGGAAAAAAGACAATATCATTACCTAATTAAAGGTGGATGACCTAGTTGGCAGCTGTTTCCACACATGGCTTTGAACAGTCAACTTCATCAGGAGACTGGAAAATAACCCTGCTTCTCTCTAGAAAGCAGAAATATGATTTGACATCATTTCATAGCTTTACCAGCTGTACTTGTTTTATGACAGTTATAACAAGCTGAATGTGTAATTAGCAAGATAGATTTATTGTTCGCTGTTAGATGTGCACAGTTGTAAAGGATATAAAATGGTGTTTGTGGTGTGGAAGTCTACTGCAGCACTTGGAATGCCGCTAACACTTCTAGCAGCACCCTCTGAAAACCAAGTATGTGTTTCCAAGCAGGGATTTATTCAGACCCATGTTGTACAAGGTAATTGAAGCGGTTACTTTTCCCAGGGAACGTAATGAATGAGGCTGTCTGAGGTATACATGTGCAAGCTCAAACCTACTGCCTGCAAAAAATAGAAAGAATTAGGCAGGATCAGGAAATATAAACTTACGTGGTATAGATCTGCTATGTGGTCATACTTAGGATTGAGTAAGGGCTGCAAATAGCATACGGAGAATTCCTTAACTGTAGGAATATGTTTAGTCCTAGCATAAAACCTCTGAAGCAGTTCTCTTCATCAACTGCCTCCTGCTCTAACTTAGGGAACGTGGGGTTGGTTTCTTCTGCATGGGGGTAGATGATGGACTGAGGGATGTGATAGACTTGCAGAGGTGAGAAGCCTACCACCACAGTGCCTGTGAGCTCTTGCTCATTTCTGTAGCACACAATTTGGAGTTGAAGTGGGGTCAGGGAGTGGAGCCAGAAAAGATTTATCAAAAGCACTTAGCACTGTGTGAGATGTTCCCACTGGCCATGAGAGTACATTAGGCAAAGGCAGGGCACTTGTGGGCAACAGCCTACAACACAGAATTGGGAGAGAAAAACACAAGAAAATGGAAAATTAGGATTTTCTGTTCAGAAAGGCCTCTTTGGCCACAAAACAACAAAACTGTGTTGGCTGTTGCCTTTATACAAATGTAAAGAAAGGTACAGACAGATTTTTCTCTTTTTCTTTCCTTTTTTTTTTTTTTTATGAGTGAATCACCTTTTCTATTAAGCTATAACAAGCTCTTTGAGAGCCTGCAGTAGGATTTTTTCATAGTTCTTCATTTGTTTCATCAGTATTAGATTCCACAGAGCTTTTCTATAAGATAATGGTTCTGTTATAAAAGTATTATAGGCTAATGGTTTTGATCCAAAGACAAATAGAGACTTCAGTGGGCTTTGGAACAGACCTTAAACCAAGTGGGAAATAGAGCATGCTCAGACAGGCTGCCCTGGGAATCATTAAATAGCATCACAATTCAGAAATGTTAGAGTGATTGAACTGTGAAGTATAAGTGAAGCACTGAGCCAGGAGTTACTGGTGTTTCAGAAGCTTGTACATGAATAATGTAGGAAATGTTAATCTCAAAATAAAGTATCAGTGCCTAAAATTGCCGTGTTTACCTATAATTGATCATCAAAGATTCACATGCCTTTGGTTAGATATGCACATGCTTTGAATTTAATCTTCCACCTGATGGCCTTCCTCAAGAAAATATGCCAGCTTCTATGATACTCACCATCCCCTGCCCAACTCTGTCTTAGTATCATCCTGTTGGTTGTGCTGGTATAGCTGCTGTGCAGCCATTCCAAAAATTGGACTACAATGTTTTAAAGTTGAAAAACAACACCTCACTCTGGGGTGATTTTTTCAGGGAGAGGACAGAAATGGAAGGAGGAATATCAACCTAGAGGAAGAGATCTGGGACTAAATTCTTGTGTTGTTTAGCTACAAAATCAGGATGCTTCTGCATGTTCTTCCTTCATTGGTGGCGACAGTAGGGAGCTGTCAAAAAAAAAGATTCTGAGAAAAAAGAATAAAAAGGAAATGAGGGGAAGATTTCATAAAAGAATTATTCATGTTCCACTACAAGTTTTCTGACTTAATTTCATGTGAAAATTCTCTTTATATCTGGTATAAAACTCAGCTAGTGAAATCTCTGTAGTCCATGCCATAGAAAAGGCCCTTCAGAGCATGAACAGTTGGTCTCAGGTGTTTAGAAAATACTTTGCAAACTGTATAAACAGAGGTTAAGGCACAAAAAATATTCTCAAGGTTGAAGCATGAATGAATGGCCCAGCCTGTTTTGCTCCTCTTAGTGCCTTCTGTCAAAACCCTTTGCTCCATCCTATGGATAAGTCATCAGACATTTGGTCTCAATGTCTTTCCCATATGGGCACTGCACTATAGCCTTTATTGTGGTAGTCAGAGTGGCCTACAAATTCATCTCCCTTTGCCTTCTTGCCCATGGTGCATACTTGCACAAACATACAGAGTCCCTTTTTAATTGATTGGGGCAGCCAGGCTGTCAGACCAGAGGAAATCTCTCCACCCCTTCATTTCTTAGCAGGAGGCCATCTGAGAAAGAAAAGGGGGAAAAAAAACTTCCATAGCCAATTAACCCTGGATATTATGTTCAGGAAGGTTTAGAAACCTGTTCTGCCGGCTTCTGATCATTGTATGGGTACAGAATATTTACCAAGTGCCTGGAGACCACAACAGACATAAACCATCATTATGCCTTAATGTGCCATCTACCAAGCCCTTTCAGTCCCCAGACATGTATAGAGTTCCCATTCAGCAGGAAGGTGGCTGCAGTCTTTACTGTGTCTGCAAAGATCTGCCTGACATATCACTAATGAAATACAGTGGGAAAAAAATGGATCAAAAACTGTTACAGTGCTGCTGAGATTTCACATGAGTTGGGTAGATGTCAAAGGGCTTTGATCACTTGTTTGGGGTAGCTAGACACAGTACAGAAGGACTCTTTTGGTACAATTAATTCAGACACAATAAGAAGATATTGCAAGCATACCTGTGCCAAGTAAGTAACTAAATAAATTAAGCATGAGTCTATTCCCTTTTCCTTGATTAAGATCTTTGCAAGGTTGTTCTATAATCAGTGTTGACAAAGCATTAAAAAATGTTTGCATCTCTTTCAAAGAAATTTAAATATGATATTGCAGATTAATTCTCTTGCTTTTCAGAGGACTTGTATGAAGAAGAAAAGAGGCACGAGGTGCTTTGTTTTTCCTAGCTGAGGGGTACATGTGAGGCTAGTAGTATTTTGTACTGATCCCAGGATGTGCCTTTTTTGTTCTGAGCTGGTACGCTCCTTGATAAATTACCTCACCAGGATTTTAGTGTCAAAATGCAATTAAAGTCAAGCCTAGAGTTAAAATTAATCTTTTCATGCAATAGTTATCCTGAAATCCTGGAACTAAATGGAACAAATATGAAGGACTAAATAGCTGAATTGTTGGATCTTTACTAGGATTTTGACTATGTCTGCTAGCACTCAAGAGTTAAGATTTATAAAATTCCCTGTAAGATACGTAACAGTTTTTGAGATTATTCATTATTGAATTGGCTCATATTAAGAAAAACATGCTACAAAAAATAATAGAGCACATTATGTCCCAATTTTAGTTTAGAATAATGCAAAGTCACGTTCAAGATTTTAGTTAAGTGAAGGTGTTTGGACTGGCTGTATTATACCGTGTCCCTGTGAAACTAGGCTGTGTGGTTGCTTTGCCTAGAGTAGCTGTTGTTTGCCTTGGAGTTGCTATACACTTGATTGATGCAAAGGCCATTTGTCTAAGCATTAATTTGCATTGCAGAAGTGGCAACCATAGATTTTTCCAAGTTCTAAGCAGCCAGGTGGAAAAGTGTGGTAGAGGTATTTCAGTGTGGTAGAGACAGAGCACACGTAGATGTTTCCAGCCATACAAACACAGGCTCTGCCTGTCTGATGAGGGATTTGCAGTGGTATGAGTATGCTAAGGACTAAGAAAGAGTCCTCTAGCAGTAGTTGGGCCTCAAGACCTGGATAGAGTAACAAAAGTTGCTGCTTGGCCCAGCTGAGAACAGGACCTAAAAACAGTTTTCTTCCATTTCAATGAATGTCATTTCTGCGGTGCTCTGAACTGGACGGCCTCATTCTCAACATGAGATAATATAGATTTAAGAACCCTTACAAACAGATGTGATGTAGATTTAAGAAACCTTAACCTTCAAAAGTTTCATTGGCAGTTACTTGTTCTTATGAAAAGTTTTCCTTTAAGTGAATTATCATTACCAATGTAAAGAAAAAAAAATCATTGAGAAGTTATTGCTTGGCTCTAGTTGAGGCACTTTAAAAAAACAGAGTTGATTTATTTATTTGTTCCTTTTCTACCCACTTTCACTGATTGCTTCA